AATCTGTATTTTGAAAGGAACAAACTATTTTGAAAGCATACAAACTATCTCAAAGTTGCAAAGTGATTATTTCATGTCAAAATTGTTTTAAATACTCAGTGCTCTTATGTAATGTGATACTTACGAAATATGACAAAATTGCAGAGAAGCCTGTTCATTTTCTGTTGGGATTAAATACCATACTTTGATGCTTACACGGTATTTTATGAGCAATTCTATTCTACTAGTTATTAGGAGCAATTATTAGTTTGTTAAATTAGCCAAATGTTTTCTTCTCACAATTATCCTTCTCATGTACTTATGTATTTCTGCAAAGCATTTAGGTACCATACAAGAGGCATCTTGCAAAAATGAAGGCACATATAATAATAATCCTTGCATTTGATACAGAGCCTCATCACATCTTCGAGATTTTCAAAGGCTTTCACAGAATACACTGTAAAGTGAATTGACTGTATATTTTGTGAAAATATATCAAGGTATTAAGAGGAATGTTGCAGCATCAGTAGAGGAGGGATATCTGTTGAACTAGCAGGATATAGTGAGCAATGTACCTCAGAGATCTGTGCTAAGGCTTCTTTAATTTTCTGTAGATATATTAATGTTTTGGACTTAAGCACAGCAGTTCAAACATGTCTAAATTTGCTAATCTTACCAAATTAGTGGGAATGGTAAATTAGGAGGAATGCACAAGACTACAGAAGGACATAGAGATAATAATAAAAATCCTTGCATTTGATATAGTGCATTTGGGAGGAAGAACACAGAAAAAACCACTCCAAATGGTAATATACTTGATGGAATGGAGTAGAGGGAACTCAGTACAAATGCATAAGTATTTAAAGGTGGGAAATGCTGCACAGTTACAGTTTCTTGCATCAAATTAGCAACATATTGAATCATTTATTACACAATTCAATTGCTTCAAAATGTTCATGTCCTCTAAAATAAACTATCTTTCTGATGGACTAAATGTAATGCAGGAACGTGGGTATTCAGCCTGGATACAGATGAACCCCGATTTTGAACTCTAAACAAAACAACTCCCAATTAAAGGTGGTAATCTGTATTTTGAAAGGAACAAACTATTTTGAAAGCATTCAAACTATCTCAAAGTTGCAAAGTGATTATTTCATGTCAAAATTGTTTTAAATACTCAGTGCTCTTGTGCAATGTGATACTTACGAAATATGACAAAATTGCAGAGAAGCAATTTGCTTTTGATAATAAAGCCTTCTGCAGTGTTTAATCAAATTAGTTCACGTTCAACATTAAGAATATTGCTATCACAAACAGAGAAAACAATTTTGACATGAAATAATCACTTTGCAACTTTGAGATAGTTTGTATGCTTTCAAAATAGTTTGTTCCTTTCAAAATACAGATTACCACCTTTTATTGGGAGTTGTTTTGTTTAGACTTCAAAATCGGGGTTCATCTGTATCCAGGCTGAATACCCACGTTCCTGCATTACATTTAGCCCATCAGAAAGATAGTTTCCTTTAACTATTAACATGCTGCTACTTAAATAGATTAAGCTTGACCAAGGTTATTAATAATAGAACTATACTGTCCAATTGAAAAGATGAATTGATTGAAGTACAGTACAGGAGATGTACTGAGGACCATGAGGGTTTTTTCCTTGACATGGATTATTTATGAGCAGTCTTTCCAATGTGTACATATGACAAGCTCTGTATATTTATAATGTAACACAAAACTTATTTCTTCATATTAATCATTGTTAGAAAGCCTATTGGAAATATTTAAATAAAAATATTTTTTATTATTGAAAGTAAGACAATCTAAGGTTTCAAAACGTATAAAACTGATATAAACAGTTTTGTATTTATTTATATATCTGATAGTGTCAGTAACTACTTGTAGTTATTGTTCATCTGGTGCAAGTTTTAGTTGTCAGGCTGACTCATTCGGTAGTATTTTGCTCTGACTGTGTGCAAATATATAGTCACTGCACTTAGAAAAACTCTGGAGTTTTTTCATGTTTTAATGTAATGAAATGCAAATATGTAAGAATTATTAGCATTTTTAAGTTCCATTGGTTGTTTGGGTGACGATTAGAAATGTATTACCTGATTTTTTACCACTATTTTTTTTAAAGCACAAGTCTCCTACAATAACAAACAGTAACATTACCTGATATCCACTACAGTACAAGTTAATCCTAAAACTGTTTGTGATAGCAATATTCTTAATGTTGAACGTGAACTAATTTGATTAAACACTGCAGAAGACTTTATTATCAAAAGCAACATGCTATGCATTAATATTTTTGAAACAAAATGGATCAATCACAGTTTTCAAGAATAATTTACTGGTCAGAATCATGAGGTATCTAGTCAGCTCATTACTGACTATAACTTCTTTAATAAGAATAGGAAACACATGTTGGCTCAAAGAATGCTACAAATCTGTAACACATTTAGGTGATCTCACAAACTACACCAGTAAAACTTGAGAGTTTATAAAGTCTTTCGATCCTCAAGATTGTACTATTCTTTTGAAACAATGCTTACAAAGATCAAAGCCAGTTTGCTCTTTTTATATAAGTAATATGGCCATCCCAGGACAGTGGGAGAGTGCTTGGGGGGATCTGTATGTTATATAGTTTTTTCCACGAGTATGAAAGTCCTGATAACTCATTAACTCACTGTGACAAAAAGTTAATTTCATGACCAAAGTTTATTTTATTTCTTTTCCCACTTTAGTGTTCCTCCACTTTTTATGTAATTCACAACATTCCCTACCTAAGTATGCAGGTGACCTTCTGGATCTCTGTCAATGCTATAATAATAATAATAATAATAATAATCCTTGCATTTGATATCGCGTCTTATCACGTCTTCAAGGCGTCTGAAAGCGCTTCATAGAATAACTTTATGTAATTCATAAGCCAGCCATTAGATGGTGTGGAAGAGTGTACTAGGTTTGCTCTGATGATCTGTTCAAAACTCAGTTCTGTTCAAGGGTTTATCAGAAATGTTAACTTGCTTGCCTTTGTTTCAGATGTTGATTGATTTGCTAATCATTTTAGCATTTTTGTTGTTTCAGATTTCGGAATTTGCATTGTTTTTCTTTTCTAAGATAGATTTGCATTTTTGATGAGTTTGCATTCTTCTGTTAGTTATTAATTCCTGATCGTTTAGCCAAGATTCAGGAATAGCTTTGACATGTCAAATAGAGATCACTTCCCAAAACAACAGCAATAACTTGTATTTATATAGCACCCTCCACGCTGGGCGGCGTCTCAGAGCGCTTAAAGGGACCTGCAAACATCCAGACAGAGAAAAGAGGTTATAGTACGTAGTAGAAAACTGGTGAACATAAAGAACATAAGAAAATGTGAAACAAGAAGTCATTTGGCACTAAATTTTGCCTCCTATAAACAATGTAAAAACAACAACAAATTATATTTGTCTAGCGCCTTTCACGTCGGGGTGACAGTCATGTATTTGGACCCAAACAGGGGATTTGTATCAGGGAGGGGGGAGGGTGGCCGAAGGCTCGGTCGAAGAGAAGGGTCTTGAGACGTGCCTTGAAGGAGGCGAGGGAGGGAGCGAGGCGAAGGGATTGTGGGATGGAGTTCCAAAGGGTGCAGGCAGAGAGGTTGAAGGCCCGACTGCCGATGATGGGGCGGGGGACGTGGAGGTGGGGAAAGACAGAGCAGGTCATGGCACAGATGTGGGGGAGAAAAGACAGTTGAGGGTCAAACAAGATGCTAAGGTTCTAGACTGGCTCAGTGAGATGGAGTATGAACCCTGGATGGTGATGCTGTCAGCGCCTGAGGTGTGGAGGCGCTGATGGGAGCCTCGGTCTTATTGACGTTCAACTGAAGAAAGTTAGCTCTCATCCAGGACTTGATGTCTGACAGACATTCTGTGAGAACAGTGGTCCTTGATTCGAGTATGGAAGCAGAAAGATAGAATTGGATGTCATCCGCATAACAACATCAATTTGCATTTATATGGCACCCTCCACTCCAGGCAGTGTCTCAGAGCATTTATCAATGGTGGAGCCCAAGGCCAAGCTAGTGGGAGGGGAAAGGTGACAGTAGGCATGGTCGAAAAGGAAGGTCTTCAAGCACAACCTGAAGATGGGGAAGGAGGGGGCGAGGCGAAGGGGTTTCGGGGCATAGTGGCTGAAGGCATGGCCGCCGATGGTGGAGAGGAGGATTTGGGGACGCAGAGGAGACCTGACCCAGTAGAGCGGAGGCAGCGGTACTGCTGTGGGGAGAGAGGAGGTTAGAGTGATGGGGGGGTGACAAGGAATGGAGGGATTTAAACACTAGTGAAGATCTTGAAGTCGATCTGCTCTGTGACAGGGAGCCAGTGGAGTTTGGCAAGGACTGGAGTAATCGGGGTACGAAGTTTGGTGTGGGTGAGAATGTGGGCGGCGAAGTTTTGAATGAGCTGGATGAGCATATGTGTGGAGGTTGACCCCATGCCTGCGAATGGTGTCACCAAGAGGGAGCATGTAGATGTTGAACAGGAGAGGTCCGAGGACAGAGTCCAAAATATTTCTCCTTGGCTCTCACAATGCAAAGGATGAAGTACTCCAAAAACAAGTTGAAAGATGTTGAATGTGAAAGGCAATATATCAAGGTTGATTAGTGAAGATATGGAAGTGGATCAGGCAATTCTAGAGTCTTCCTTGATTATTGTTGAGGTCTTAATGCTTTATGTACTTTAAACTAAGAGCATGAATCTATTCTTACAACCCTGATCATAGTTGTCATTATTTTATACTGTACTCAACAACACTTAGAACTGTTTAGATCCATAGAATATCTGATATCTCTCCCTATACTTTTAACTTTCAATACGCTTCTTGATCAGATATTTATCATCTTTTTTAAAGATGCTTTTCCACATATTGTTAACTGGTTTTGTTGGGAGTCTCTTCCACTAATTCATACTACTGTAGTCTGTGGGGAAAACATTTGCATATTTCTAAATTTTGTCTTCCTTTTCTTATCACAGAAATTCCTTTAGAAAGACACCTGCCACCATTCTGCAAATCCAGGACGCCCCTCATCCTTAGTTCCAACCTCGCTTGATACTGTGAACTGTGTTACTGAGGACAAACAACGGGCCTATTACCACCCTCCAGACACTCTACACTACTGGAAAAAGATAACCATATTCCACTTTACTTCGAAAGCATATGAATGTCATTATTTATTCCTTGTGTTATTTTGCAAACTTTTGGAATACCCTTGAAGTATTTGTTATTCTTGAAATAAAGAAGACAATGACATCTTAATGTTGGTTACATTTCTGTACATCAATACATTTTTAACATATACCACTGAATGTTTTATTTTCGCATAGAATTGTATTTTGAAATTTGTTTTCAGTTGCATCTTTGAAAGAAGGTTAAGTATAGATCGGCTTCTATTTCTTGTGTTGTAGGATAATTTTGATTTATTTTGGAGGAAGAGAATTCTAGAGATGTAGTTCCCTTATATTTCCTGGGTGGCCTTTTTGGAGACTCTTTTGTTAAAGGTAAGGTATTGAGCTAATGTGGGTGTAGTGTTGTTTCTACTGCTTGTCATTGTTTAATTAGGGAAACAATTAGGAAAATAAATATAGCGACTTACTGCTTTCAATGTTAATGTTACTTTGTGATGCATATGAATCAATCTTCCATTCAGTTTTCCTTCTTCTTTTTAACCTCTTTTGGGTATGGGACCTAATAAAAGACCGAGATTGTTTGCTTTAGTTCTACAATAACAACTCAAAATTATAAACAATGAAAATGCATAAATCTAGAAACTCCCATAAATTAATTATGTTAAATTCAGAAACTAAATACAGGTACATTAATGGACCAATTTCCCTTTTTATGTTGTATGGCCGTAAAGGTAAAAGAAAATGGTTAATCACAAGATCACCAGGGAGATTTGGATGAAGTTCCCTTCAAGTTTCCTTTCTCCACACATACGTCTCTGTTTACCAAGCAATAAATAGGAACCTGGTTGTTAGTCGATTGACGGATTGCTTTTGCAGGGATATTAACCCCTTCCCTAACATTTTTAAAAACAATTAATCCACAATTGTTTGTGGGACACTGCTGTGCACAAATAGCCCCCACCTTTCGCCCACAAAATATACAGTCACTCCACTTTACAGTATATTCTGTGAAGTGCTTTGAGCTGCCTCGAAGATGTGAAAAGGCACTATGTCAATTGCAAAGATTATTATTAATACTACTTGTTTGTTTCCCTTCAGTCAGTTCCTAATGCTTGTTATCAGATTGTATGATATTTTGTGAAATGCTGTTTGAAAATCTTGGTATATTATTTCATGTGGGTTTCACTGTCAATTTGGGATGTCAGATCAAAAATGCTTAAGATTACTCAGACTCAGATTACTTCAATGTGATAACTATTGAATTTATTGCTAAATTGATCCTAATTAATATTCAAGAAAGTATTGTTTTAAAAGATTAATATTGACAACACAAACATGTTGACATACATTATTGCAACTTTTTTGCATTATTTGCTTGTGTGCTTACTTCAACTTGTGTAGCAGACTTCCCATCTTACCATTGCACTAACTGTCTATTTATTATTATTATTTGTGGAGTCCTGTAGCTCAGTGGTTAGAGCACTCACTTTGCAAGCGAGAGACCTGAGTTCAATTCCAGGCACAGGGCGAAACCTTGGGCAAGTTTCCTTACTCCACACAGAGCCTAATAATAATCCCTCCAAAACCAAAAATAATAATAAATTGGTCATTTTCAATCTACAACTGTTTGTGGGACATTGCTGTGCGCAATTGGCTGCCGCGTTCGCCCACAAATATACAGTCAATTCACTTTACAGTGTGTTCTGTGAAGCGCTTTGGGACATCCTCCCGACGTGAAAAGCGCTATATCAAATGCAAGGATTATTATTATTATTATTATTACAAGCTATTGGTTTAACCAACTTGTAATGTGCTAATCAGATTGAACCAACAACGAATTGTAGGTGCAAATCACCAGAATTTTGACAAATCTGCAACAAATTTTAGCAACAGAAAATGTTCCCTTCCCTTCCTCAATTAACTCAACATTTCAAAGAAAATATCACAATTTCAAGATGGTTGCCAGCCTGGTTCAGATGGTATCATTCTTGCCTCTGAGTCAGAAGATTGTGGGTTCAAGCCCCATGTTATGACTAAGAACCCACAGTGTACCGTGAATGTTCGGAGGTGCTTCATTGTCAGAGGTGCCATGCTTTGAAAGAGAAGTTAAGCTGTCTACCTGTGCAGGTGGAAATTAAAGATCCCACAGCAATGCTCTAAAAAAAAAGGAGCTTCTTTCACATAAGATTGGCCATTCAGTTCATGGCTGTTTGTAGGTCATTGTGGGGACAAATTAGCTGTTGGATTCACATACAAACTACACAATCGCTATACTTTACAGTAAAATCCTGTGAGGCATTTTGAGACATCTCGACAATGATCACAGGCTCTATGTTAAATGCAATGATTGTCATTCACAGTTGAATTCACAGTATGTTTTTCTAAGCTTGATGTAATGTGACTAATAGAAATGAGGTCTGGGTTAACGAGAAAAAAGTAAACAAGATCGCGAGATCATACTGGGGTAACTGGCCAAATCAGTTGAATTCAGTTCCCCAGAAGTCATGCTTAAGCTATCCAATGCTCTGATTAAATCACATTTGAAATACTGTACGGCACACAATCTTGTTGCCAAACCAGAAAGACAACGATGCTTGCAGTATAAAAGCTCCTCAGTAAAGAGGAGAACAAGGCTGATCCCAGGTAAGATTTGCAGAACAACAAGACAAGGTAGAGCTATCAATAATATTAATAATTTGGTGTAGCGCCTTTCACGGTGGGTGAACATCCCAAAGCGTTTCACAGGATACACTGTAAAATGCAATATTCAGAACTCTGCAGCTCGTATCCTTGCCCGCATGAAGTTCCGTGAGTCGATCACCCCGTTCTCGCCCGGTTTCACTGGTTCCCCACCCCCCAGAGGATCGAGTTCAAGATCTTGTCCTCATCTTTAAAGTTTTCCTCGGTCTTGCTTCTCCCTACCTCTAAAATTTCACCAACCTGTCTCTTCTCTGGTTGACGGACATTGGCCGTCAACCGCCCTGCCTGCACCACCATCGGAGGTCAGTCCTTCAGCCTTTCTACCCCCACTTTCTGGAACGCCATCCCAGAGCTCCTTTGCCCCTTTGCCTCTCCATGCCACCACCACCCCCCCGCCCCCCCCCACCACCCCACCAACACCACCTCTAAGGCCAACACAAGACCTTCCTCTTAGAATGTGCCTTCAGTCATCTTCCTGCCTCCACCCTCCTTGCCCTCTAACACTCCACTCAGCGGCAATATAGTGGAGTCCTGTAGCATATTGGTTAGAGCACTTGTATCACAAGTGAGAGGATCCTGATTCGATTCCCAGGCAGGGCAAAACCTTAGAGAAGTTTCCTCACATCATACACCTCTGTTTACCTAGCAGTATGTAGGAACCAGTTGTTAGTCAATGGCAGATTATTATTACCACTTATTACCACTTTCTAGTGGTAATAATCCCGTCAAAAATTAATAATAATAATAATTTGGTCAAACAATCCATGATTGCTTGTGGGACACTGCTGTGCACAATTGGTTGCTGTGTTTCACCCGTAGTCTTACAGTATATTCTGGGAAGCGCTTCAAGATATCTCAATGACGTGATAAGGAGCTATATCATATGCAAGAATAATTATTATTATATAAATACAATTTGTTGTTTTGTGGGCGAATGCCACAGCGAAATTTAGGCAAGGCAATGTCCCAGGACTGGCCTCCTCCTTGTCCCCAGAGTCGTCCGCTCCACCATCGACAGCCGTGCCTTCAGCCACTACGCCCCGAGGCTTTGGAACTCCCTTCCTCACTCCCTCGTCCCCTCTCTTCCCACTTTCAGGTCTTGGCTGAAGACCTTTCTTTTCGACTGCGACTTTGGTCACCTTCCTCCCCCTCCCTCTGGCTCTGAGACGCCGTCCGCCATGGAGGGCGCTATATAAATCCAAGTTGTTCTTATTGTTGTTGTTCCACAAACAGCCACCAAGTGAGTGATTAATTTTATTTGTTATAAGTCTTGAAAAGAGATGTTTCAGAAGGGACCTTAAGGAAGTAGGTAAGATACTTAACAAGATAGAGAGAAAAAACAGGACAGTATTTGAGATGTTTCAATCCTGGAGTACAAGAGGCTAGAGGTTCAAGCTTGTGAAGTGCACTTTCAGGACAGACACCAAGAAGTACACATAGGGTAATAAATGGCTGAAAAGTGATATAATTACAAGGAAACCGGCCAATTTAAAGAAGTTGATACTGTTAAGGAAAGGTAGTATGGTGGGCATTCTGGAAAAATAAGATCAAATGGTCGGCATGGCTTTCTTCATCCAAAACTCAGCTGTGATCACGTTTGAACTAATTAATAAAGGTTTTGCCTGGAAAAAAATCGTAGCTGATGATTTCCCAGAATTTGGGGCAATTATCAGCAATGTGAGGAATCCACTTAAAAACATGTTGTAACATGTATGCATTATTCATTTAAAACATTAAAAGTTACGATAGATTGATAGTGAAAGACTACTAAACTTGAGTTCAATATTTGCACCGATTGACCAGCAGTCAGAATGGTTTAATATGACCTTTATAGTACATTTAACAAAGCATTAACATTAGTTGGAGAGAATGGGGATTTGGAATATTTTAAAAATATGATGTAAATGAATGGGAGCGAATTAGTTTATATAAATAGCCAGAGCTACCAGGTGGAATATAGATTATAACGACGTTATTCTCTCCTTATATGAGTGCAGTAGAGGGGGGGAGATGTGGTGAAAATAAAAGCTCTGCCTGGGATAACAAACTGAACAGATGGGTTTGGGAATTGAGTACCAAGTGAAAATATGAAAGAATAATAATGGGAGCAGTGCAACTTTCCCAATCGGAAACTAATGTCCTTGGGATACCTCAGTTCCTTCCTTCGTAAACATTGTTTGGGAGACCCACCACCAGTTCTACTCATACAACAATTCCAGAGTAAACGAATTATGCATTTTATGTTTATAGAATCGCAAGAGACAGATTGGGTTTATACGATCCACTCAAAACAGCATCGTTGTTCCTTTTTTTTCCCCCCCAGTGGCTGAAATCAGTGAAGTTTCAGTAGGACATTATTGAAGTGCTGCACCAAATGGAAAAAAATATATTTTTTTTACACACACGAGCGTTGGATGGAAAGAAAGCAAAAGGAAACCCGATTTTTTTTTTCAGATTAAATATACGAACGTATGTTTCTTCTTGACGTGCTGGAGTTTACATGAGAACATTTACACATGGGTTGCTCTATGTTGCATGTAATATTGAAATCTGACCACATCTGGGAACTGGGTGCTCCTGCAAAGCAACACTCTTCGGGTAAATAAGTACCAAGTGCGAGGATTATTATTAAGTATTGCACTTAAATCGTGCATTTAGTCCAAACGACTGGGAGTCGCTGAGCACAGTGTGGTTTCTACGAAGGAAAGCTGTGGGGGAGAAACAGAGGCCACAGGAGTGCAACGATTTGCTGTAATTTTAGGTAATTCAGTTATTCTGCAACCGTTAAATTGTATTTGGGTCCTCTACAATACACTTTCAGATAACAACAGTAGATTTACGCAGAGTTTAGAGAAATGAACATTCAATGTTCTACCCTGTAAACGTCTACTGCATTATATTTATTGTTTATAATGACCCACTTTAATTTTGCTGTCACAATTCCTCTGTGTTTAATCAAACCCTGTGGTACGCGGTCGGGTTTAGCGTCTGTGGGAGTATTTGTTTGTATCTTTGCAGTCAGTCCCAATAATAACTTTGATCTTCATTGTTGCAACGACTAAAACGTTATTCGGTGCTCTGTTTTTTTCAATCTGCTGAAAGTACTGTACTTTAGATATTTAAGTGGATTAGAATCACATTACTTTTATTTACTGGCGCGGTATATATAATAGGCGTCTACTAATGCCCCGATTCATGATTTAGTAAGTCATTCAATGTGCCATGGAGTGCAACCTGGTTCAAAGGTGCTTTTGGACACTGTTTGCAGAAATAAGGGTTTTATTTGGATGAACTTTAATAATAATAATCCTCGCATTTGATATAGCGCTTTTCACGTCGGGAGGACGTCCCAAAGCGCTTCACAGAACACACTGTAAAGTGAATAAAGTAAAATATGTAACACAAGTCACACACACACCCACACACACCCACACACACCCCCACACACACACACTCACCTGCGAACTATATGCATCACCTTTAAAAATCCAAATCAAAGATTATGCAATCATTTTGCTGCGGCTTTAAACAAAAGAAGACGAAGAAAAAAAAGTGCACAAAAGCAAAACGCGATTGACCAAAGCATCTCCACTCCTGCACTGAAAATGCTGACTGACAGAACCATGATCATCATCGTCAAAATAATAATCCTCGCATTTGACACAGCGCCTTATCGCGTCTTCGAGACGTCTCAAAGCGCTTCACAAATTATACTGTAAAGTGAATTGACTAACTTTTGTGGGCGAAACGTGGCAGTCAATTGGGCACAGCGGTGTCACACAAACAGTCGTGGATTGAGTGACCCGAATTAGTTTTTTTTAAAATATAATTGTTTTTGGAAGGGATTTATTTGTTTTGGAAGTCGCGACTCTGGGTGTGTGTGTGTGTCTGTGTGTGTGTGTGTGTGGAGTAAGGCAACTTAAAAGGAAATTCATCCAAATCTCCCTGATGATCTTTTATAAGCTTTATAGACATTTATTATAATAATAATAATAAATAATAAATAATAAATAATCCTTGCATTTGATATAGCGCTTTTCACGTCTTCTAGACTTCTCAAAGCGCTTGACAGACTGCACCGGAAAAGTGTAGTGACTGTATATTGCGTGGTGTATCAGGGAATTGTGCGGGGAACTATCTTAAATGAATGTAAAATGTAAATGATCGGGAATCTTGTGCCTGCAGTCATATGCCGGTCTGCAAACAGTTTATTCGTGTTGAAATGCCAGACTTTGTCATTCCACCTATTTGTCTTGTAATCACTGTAGAAGTGCTCCACAGTGATCACTTTTCTGACTTATTGGAATACTCTTGAATTTCGGGAGCAGTCGATCCAGTTTTTTTTCATTGGAAGCCTTCAGCATAAATAGCGTCTCCACTCTCCTGCAACCATTCGCCCACAAATATACAGTCAATTCACTTTACACTCTATTCTGCGAAGCGCTTTGGGACGTCTGGAAGACGTGAAAAGCGCTATATCAAACGCAAGGATTATTATTATTATTAATCGGTGATCGCATTTTCACTGACAATTGATAAAAAGTCATCGAAGTTAAAACAGCAATTTAGCTGCCCATAAAATACATAGTCAATCCTCTTTGCAGTATATCACGGGAAGCGCTTTGAGACGTCTTAAGGGCACTATATCAAATGCTATTATTATTATTATTATTATGTCGGGCTCGTACAGAAAAGTGGGCATAAAGGACACAATACCGGTAGCCCAAGACAAATGTGATGGAATATTTACACTAATAAACTGACTTGCCGATCGGGCAGGAAATAACTCCTTATAAAACTTCAGTGACACTTACAAAACAAAGCAGCAATTTAAATCAGGTTTGGTTTTGATTGACGAGTCGGTATTAGGACGTGAAGGACTTTGGTGTGGGGTGGAGCTCCCAGAAAACACAAAGGAGAATTCTTGTCTTGTGGCAATAATATATAAGTAGATATTAATTATCACAAAGAGTTACCCCCGCAGAAGAGTGATTACATCGTGCTTGTAAAAATAACCTTTTTTTTTTGGAACCAATGCTGTTGGTTATTAAATGAACGTACATCTGATGAATTATTATGCCTTTAGAAAAAAAAGGGGCATTAATTAACCTTCCAGAAGAGTCAGAATGATTAATTTACGGTTTTAAGAAGCGTTTCCTCTCCACTGCAATCAGAGAAATGCGAGAGATCCGCACAGGCAAAGATACAGTGCTTTTTGGCCATCCGTCCTGTGTGATGGGGAATTGTCGACAACGTTGATGTTTTTTTTAAAAAGGACATGTGTTTGGTCTTTCTTTTCGAATATTTAAATTGTTTCCACGTATTCGGATAGCAGGGACTCAGCAGTTAACTTAGCCAATGACACACCATACAATAGCTTAGATATTTTTAATGCATTTGAATTTGACAGGGGGTGGGGGGTAGGTAGAAAAGTCTCATTTTAAAATATATATATATAATATACATACTGTTTATGTATTGCCTAACTTTTCTTCTTCTGCGTTGCTTAAATCTAGTCTGCCTGGTTCATGAAATAGGATAATCATATTTTTTTTTGACACAATATATATGTTCTAACTTTTCTTCCGTGTTGTTTAGGTCTCGTTTGCGTTGGTGGTGAAATAGGATGCGATGTCTTTGAGGGGCAGTTTGGTGTGGGTATCCCATTACTTGTTAGTGAGTGCTCGGCTACACGATGATTAATTGGTCTTCAGTGAGGAGGCTGTCAGTGCTTTGTGTTGTCAGTGAGTGGCTCCAGAGGCTTAGGCACTCCTTTCAGGTGTGTGTGTGGGTGTGTGTGTGTGGGGGGGGTGGGGGGGGGGGGGGGTATGTTTTGTATGCAGCAGCTTTTGCAGCTGACCAGCACACACACACAGTCTTTGCTTCATAAAAGCTCCTGCTGAGAGGAGGGGGGCAGAGAGAGAGAGAAAAAGGTTCGTTCCTGAATTCTGAACAGCAAAATTCAGGAGAAACACGCTTATTCAGGAGAGAGAGAGAGAGAGAGAGAGACTGTAACAGCACCTGAACTAGCAGCCCTGTGCAACCTTATAACCTTATGGTGCGTTTGGTTAGTGCAATAAGGTACAGTACTGTAAAACCTGACGCGTCTCCTGTGTGTGTGTGTGTGTGTGGTGTGTTTGTGCATATAAGTTTATATGTATAAATCATACCTAATGAGAGATAGCAGTCGGTTACTATACTACTGTGTGATTCCGAAAGCAAGCAGCTCAAGCAATTGGAAATGTTATTGGTTAAGAGGCGTTTCCTCTTCAAATTCTTCACAGGTCGTTGAAAACACGATGTGTGTGTGTGTGTGTGTGTGTGTGTGTGTATCCATCTGTGTGTATTATATGTCCTGCAGAGCCAGGAGGGGGGTGTGGGTGTGTGTGTGTGTTGGGGGGTGGGGGGGTGGTGGGGGGGTTACATAGTGTTGCATTACTAACCAATCCATTCTACACGTTATTTGGAAAGTTTACCAACAGTGTACACGGTGCAACTTTCTCTGCTGAAGAAAAAAGGGGACGCGTTTGGCATTGGCATCTCGGCCCGGAATTTGGGGATGACAGCAGAGCGGCTTTAACGCAATAGCCCCGTTGGGGTGAACGAACGAATGCCTTCGCCCCCAGAGCCCTCCTCTCGTATTATTTTTTTATATGACGATTTTATTAGAATTTTCGGATAATTTTTTTTGAAAAAAAAATAAAAATAAAAATAATAATCCGACTCGAACTCCCGGACCTGTGCTGGTGTTGTTTCCAGGCTGAACCCCCCCCCCCCCCCCCACCCACCACCCCACCCCCACCCCACCCCCACCCCACCCCATGCCTGTTGGCTCGGAGTAAGTCCGGCTCTCCTCCATGGATCCCGCTGTCGGTTCCGAAACCGTGGAGGTGGACAGCCCCGGTAGTCCCAGCCCCAACTCGGACCAGGACCAGGACCGGGACCAGGACGGGGGGCTCTGCCCGGTCCGCCAGCGCTCGGAGCCGCCCGGTCGCCCCAAGTCGGTGCGCCCCAGAGGCAGACCCGCCGCGGCCAACGCCGCCCGGGAGAGGAGCAGAGTGCAGACGCTGCGCAACGCCTTCCTGGAGCTGCAAAGGACGCTGCCCTCCGTGCCGCCCGACACCAAACTCTCCAAACTGGACGTCCTGATCCTCGCCACCACCTACATCGCGCACCTGACCCGGACCCTGGAGGAGAGCCTGGAGGAGGGGGGAGAGGAGGGAAGGAGACCCCCGGGGCTGCTGCACTCGCTCAAAGTGGACGGATATCTGCACCCGGTCAAAGTGAGTCCGAGTGCTCCACCGCCGCTCATATAATAATAATAATAATAATAATAATAATAATAATAATAATAATAATAATAATAATAATAATAATAATCCTTGCATTTGATATAGCGCTTTTCACGTCGGGAGGACGTCCCAAAGCGCTTCACAGAACACACTGTAAAGTGAATTGACTGTATATTTGTGGGCGAACGCGGCAGCCACTGAGTCACTGAGGTACACCCACTAAATACTCTCTCTCTCTCTTTCTCTCTCTGTCTGTCTGTGTTTATCTCAGGTCAACCATTATTAATAGTCCCCGATAATTGCATGTTTTTATTTTTTTAATTTTCTTCTCTCTCTCTCTCTCTCTCTCTCTCTTTCCCTTTCCACTCTTACCGCTCGTTTAAGCGCTCCGAGGCGCTGCCCTCCCCGCGTGGAGGGCGCTCTGTGTCAGCGCAAGTTGTCGTCGTGGTCGTCGTCGTCGTCGTTGTTGTTGTCGTTGTTGTTGTTGTTGTCGTCGTCGAAGCGGCCCCACTTCGCGATTCTTAGACCTGTTACTTCTTTCTGGTGGTGATGATTTTTTTTTCCCCCCCAAAAAAAACATATTTTTGGGGCTTCCAACAAAAAAGGCCAAAAAAAAATTTCGTAAATTCAAATCGCAGAGGTGTATCGATTTTTTGTTTCAAAAGAAAACTGCAGTGGATGAAGGCATTTTTTTGTTTGATCATCACTTAAATCCCCCCCCCCACCCAAAAAATAATAATAATAATAATAATAATAATTTACATTTCCCAGACCTTTTCGACTAAGTGATTCACTTCACAGTCGATTAAGATTTAAGGAAACAAAAGTTGGAATCCACACTGACTGTTGTTGTTGATGTGAACACAGTCACTGATGTACTCAAAGACATCTCCACACGACATGGACTGGAACCAACTGCACTGAAATCTAACTCACTGTGTAGGAGAGAAGAGGGGACATTCACTGCCTCCATCGTTATTACCCTTTTGCTGTTGCTTTCCTGGATCCCACCAAATTGGGCTGTTAGTTCCCCCCCAAAAAAATAGCTTAACTTTCCCAGATGTTTTTGATGGAGCGATTCACTTCACAATATCAAGTACCTGTTTTACTATTTTATTGTTATTATTAATATTATTGTTAATATTATTATTAATATTATTATTAATTATTATTTTTGTTGCTGTTACACGTTGGGTTCTCCTTAGGGAAACCGAGAAACCTTTTCTAATTTGATTCTGTACAGCAGTCGCTGAATAACGTGGAAGTGATCCAAATACGAATGTATTTATGGTTCCAACGCGAATCCAGTTTCCTTTTGTTGGACAACTTTACACATTCATTGCGCGCATTACTCGGGTTTTTTTTTTAATTGAAGCAGAAACGAACTCTGAAAATAGGTGCTCCGTTATTTTTACAGGGCAGTAAACATTTTCGGAGAACGGATTGAAATAAATAACTTTCCTCTATGAAATGTTAGTAAGAGTGCCGACCATTTGTATCTAAAATGTCCATATATTTGGGGGAAAGCGGTATAAAAGGGAAAAAAAAGGGAAATTGAGATAGATTTCAGGATAGAATGCAAACCCACCCCTCCCCCAAAAAAAAGACTGATAAAACAGCTTTTGCCAAACTGCAAAACTGCAAAACAGGGAACAAAAATATTGCATTTACACTGTATATGAAGTAAGAGAAGGAGCGATGTGCAAATCTTTAAAGCAATCTGGTTGTCGATCCTCGGTTCTTGATAATGGTGAAGTCAATCGCTCGACCAGAAACATCTGTGAAAGTTAAGCAATTGAGAATCGACAATTCTACATATTTAACACCATTATGTAAAAAAAAAACCAGAAAACAGTTCATTTATAATCCATTTTTAAATTTAAATTATTGCTGAAAAATGAGCACAAGTTATACTAATGTTATAGGGAGTGCTTGACCTTTTTTTCAATTAATTACACCAATTCTTTATGAATTGTGGGAAATAAGCTTTGTTTTATTACTTGCACCAATTCTTAATTAATTATGGGAAATAAGCGTTCAATACAGGTTTAACAATTTATCCTCTTGACTCTTTTTAACCTGTCTTGAGCGACATACATCTTGTTAAGGTATCGGTGCCCTCTGTCTAGAGTTGAATGAGTTTACAATTGTTAGTTCCACTATAGAACTACAACATTCAATCATTTCATACGAAGGGAAATATTTTGCATGGTCAAGATACAACCTAAAATCATGGATTGAAAGACTGGTCACTACAGTATAATGTTTTGCAGTAAACACGACGTTTGGACAGATCTTGAAGGCTCATTGCCAGCTCCCTGCAGTGTACTGCCAATGCTTTAGCTGTCAAGGGAAATGTAGACAATAAATTGTAAACATGACTCATAAGAACTACGCTGACTTAGTTTTTATATATATATATATATAAAAAAAACTCAACGGTGACCTGGTTACTTGAAGTTGTCAAGTATAATAATGTTGGCATATTGGCAGCAACACACATAGCTTTGTGAATCCGCCGCATCCAAATCTGCAAATGTTTGCACAACAGTGAAAGGTGTGGGACACAGATCAGCAAACGCGTGTGGGAAGAGCATTGATTTGAACTGAATGATTCTTCTGAATAATTCTAATAACTGAGAGTGAATTAGGTTGGTTTCGGCTGTAGAACGGAGGGCAATTTTATGTTTTTAACTCGAGGTGGAGAGAGCTCTGGTGATAAAATAACATGTGAAACCTAATCTTGAGGAGCGTTTCAACAATTAATTGGAGAAATGCAATATCTCATACCCAGCCAAGGTCGATGTTAACAATTCATACAGCATATATGGGTCGAATTCCTTCATTTGCCAACCTTTCATGGCCACACTGTGTTAACTCTGCTTTGCTGCAGAGCAAAAGGTAAATACAGGTACAACTCAAAACTCACCTCCATCGCAAAGTGAAACCCTAATGTATCACTCGTTTTTAATATGATCTAAATGACGGGGCTTATAATGATAACCTGTCTCTTTCCTTTACGTCGGATCAAACCTAAAGCTCTAATGCCTTGTTGTTGTTGTTGTTGTTTTGTGACTTGTAGAAGTGGCCAATGCGATCTCGTCTGTATGTTGGTGCAAATGGACCGTTTCTGAATTCGGGGCCAACAGACAGTCAGAACCCAGGAGAGACCTCCAAAGCTAATGCTCCCTGAGCTGTCAGACACACACACACACACCACAGACACAGACACAGACACAGACAGACAAGACCTGCCAAAGCTCACCTCCTGATGCTTGAACCGTGACAACCAACGACGAGAACGTTTCCTCTTCTTTTCCTTCACACTTCCCATTAGTGTCGTTGGAACGACAAGTTCTCAGACTCATTGGAGAGATCGGTCAAAGGACCAGGTGTCAGATTGCAATGCAGTCGCTTGAAAATGCACGCGAAATGAATCTAAAGCGATCGTTTAATATCAAAGTGTTATTCAAGCTATAACGTCGAAATACTCGTTGAGATAAAAGTCCAGGATTAAAGTGTGAACTGTGTTTGTAAATGCCAAACGATAGCTCTGTGGATCATTGCCATGTTCTCTCTCTCTCCCCTCTCTCTCTCTCTCTCTCTGCATGTATTTGTGAAGCAGACCTGAAATACCTGACCTGATGTACAGTCTTGGTCTTTGTAAATGTGTGAAGTGTTGAAGCTGACGTTTAGTACTCGGTCTGAGTGTCTGAAGGCTCTGAAAGGATTTCATGTGCCCCGGAGTAATGAAGTCTAGGCTTGGCTGATGGGCTATGCACTTTCGATTAGTCAAGTTTGCACTAAATGCACGAATGAACGGATCCGACAAGGAAACAGTTGGAGTTTCTCTGCATGGCCGGGTGATGTAGTGTCTACCTGATTTTTTTTTGTTTAAGAGCATTAAATCCCTTTTTTTTTATATGTATGTATATGTGGGGGCGAGGGGAAAGTGCTCTCGAAATTTGTTTATTTGAAGCCTTGGCACAAACGTTGCAGTACCAATACTATTTATTACCAGGCAAGAATTTCTTGCCTCTCTCCCTCCCCACCCCCCACCCCCCCCCCCCCCCCCCCAAAAAAAAGGAATGAAATCGTTGTTGTCCAATATATTGACGTTTGTTAAAATTGTTAAAATTGTTGAAGTTTGGCCAATCTTACGACCTGGCGAAGAAGCATAGTGTCTGTTAGATAAAGATCTGTTTAAATTCATGTTGATTTTACCATATGCAAAGACTCTGATTTGTATTTGAATCCTCATATTTGCTTAAATAAAGCAACCCGTCCCTATGTTGTGTGTGGGGATGAATTATTCGAAAATGTTTCTCTCTCAGCATCTTCCAAATTGAGATAAGAGCGACGCCAAAAACAAAGAGCGTTTTAGTTTATTCGCTCAAACAATGAGTTGAAAGTATTTGCACGTTAATGTTTTAAAGATGTTGTGTTCAGTTTAAACGCCGCGTTTGGAATAATTTGGCTTTGATTTAAAGAGCACAGTTTAAACCCATTTGACCGCTTTGGAAAATTAGATCAAATAGGCCAAATGGCCTTTATCATTCAAATGGTCTTGTAATGTACTCACAAATTTACTTCATGGGCGTGTGAGCAATCCACGTGTACCAACACATCAAATTACTTTATCCCAAGCATTATTTTAATATACAAATCTATTCGTTACTGTTTCATCTGAGTGAAGCGACATTCTCATAACTCAATCGCCTGCAAGATACAGTCACTTTACAGTAAATCATGTGAATTCGGTGTGTTGAAAAGGTGCTATATATCAAATGCAAGGGTTGTTGTTATTATATTGAACACTGTATTAAATTATAGCGACGATTTGTTTGTATGATTCTGGGGATTTCGTTCTTTCGATAATTTAAGGATCCATTAAATATTATGTTGAGAACGCAAAATAGCAATATAGGTGCAACTAATGGTTATTGCAATTGTACACAACCAAAAATAACATGCAGCTGAATTGCATTCATTGTTGTATTTTACAGATCCAAACACGAGAGTCGGAAATCACGCTCTTATCTTTGAACATTTTAAACTTAACACAAATTGTGAAAGCAGGGTTCCTCGGTAACATAGTTTACAATTGTTAGTTCGTGGCTGTGTCCAAACAAACATCGTTTGCCAACTTTTTAGTTGTTACAAGACGCAATGTAAAAACAAACTGCAAATTGCTTTAAATCACAACTGAGCCATTGCAGGATAGCGTCTCAGAGCACTGAAACCCCATCGACTCAAAGTATTGGCCAAACACTCTATATAACAGTGGTGGCAACCACTTAAAATCAATGATTCTTGATTGAATATGTCTTGATGTGTGCCATCGAGAAATTATTGAGATTGTTTTACACATTTATTGTGTTGTTGGCCACCAATGCTCTGTAAGGAGTTAAGCATTTCCAGTATTGCTGTAGCACACGAGGACCTTCTAACCTTGTGGTGGTACAGTACTGTGTGTCAGTCTTGTTGCAATTAATCCTCGGGGATTTAAATGCATTGAATGTATTATCCTTTTGAATAAATGGGGGAACAGACAGACAAACACAACCACTGTACACGGCAGTCCATCACCGGTGGGGGGGGCAACAAATCTAATCTTTCCAATTTATATAATCATGGAGGCATTCAGATAGGACATTGTGTAACTTTGCATTCCTTTATCACACCCAAACCTTTCTTGTGCAGCCACGATGAGGAGTGCAAGAGCATCCTGGTGGAGGCTGATTTGTACTCCCCTCTGGGGAGAGATGTTTGCCTCCTTTGGGACGCCCTACCCCTTTTTAATTCGATTTAATTCAATTTAAACCCAGTTGAGATTGGAGAGATTCAGCATTGAGGTAGAATCGTTTGAATCCAAACTATTTTATTGAAAATTGTCATGCATTTTTTTTTTGGGGGGGAAGCTGTTTAGTGCGATAGCCACAGATTCAAAATATATGCACTCTTTGCCAAATTTCAGCTGGGTGTGTAACTGTTGATTTATTTCGAATCGATCTTAATGCATACGTTTTTATATTCTTTTCACCTCATTTCAACGTCTTTATTTATTGTTTCCCCCTTCCTTTACTCCCCGACCAACTCGTTTTCTGCACCCCATCATCTGAGAAGGTGAGTGGATGCCATACCAAGCCTGAGACACCTCTCTCAAATGGTTGCTTGTCGGAGGCGTACGAGAGCATCCATCTAACCTTAATGACCCCTCTCTCCTTCTCTCTCTCCCATGGGAAAGCCCACTCGCCTCTGTTCTCTGTGTGGGGAGACCAACATTGCAAGGAGCGAGATTGATCGAGAAATCCTCGAGTGGGGGGGGGAATCGTGGTACAAGTTCCTACAATCCCACAGCACCGTATGTGATGCTTCCAAGACCTTACTCTATTGACTGCTCATGTTGTTAAGTGTTTAATTGTCGTAACAATGTGAGAGGCTGTTGCACATATGAATGTCACACCACTTGATTTATCTTTTTTTTAAAATAGTAACATCTGGTGTATGCATTACTTTCCTTATTTATAAACGTCCCAAATAATTGACTTTTGAATGTTCCCCTCCAAGCCCACCATTGGTAGGCAAGCTTTGAGACTTTGCCTTTGGGAATTCTCTCACTATCTTTAAACCTCATCAAAGAACTGTCTATTTTGACTGGGCTTTCAGACAATATTGTATCCACAAACTTCCTCCTTTGCAGCATAATTGTTGACCCACACTGTCTCTGTAAGGAGCTTTCGAACATTATCCCACGTGAAAAGCGTTATGCTGTATAAACCCAAGTTGCTCTGAACAGGATGCAAGAAAAGACTTATGATAGAATACAGTAACAACATTTACATTTGTAAAATGCCTTTCACGTCGCGAGGACGTCCCAAGGCACTGGACAGACAGAGTTACAGACCCAAGCTGGGGGTAGACGTCATGGAGGGTGAAGCAGGGAGATCAAAAGCACGGTCGAAGAGGAGGGTCGTAAGATGGGTCTTGAATGTGGCAAGGGAGGGGGCGAGGCGGAGGGAGTGTGGGATGTAGTTCCAGAGGGTGCGGGCAGAGTGGTAGAAGTCCACCCGCCAATACTGGGGCGAGCGAGGCGGGGGACCTGAAGCAGGCCGGAGCCCACTGAGTGGAGAGAGCGAGCAGGATGTTAGGGATAGGAAGTTGCCGAGTTAGGGGGGAGCAAGACTGTGGAGTATAGATGATCCTTCCCTCACCTCTGACCTCCAGGTTCTCTAATTCATATTTTTATTCATGTTCATGTTATCCGTTTTGTCAATACTACTCTGGCTAGTAAAGCTCTGAATTTGTCTTTTTAGTCCTCCAACACTTCAAATATGTTATCTCACCAGATGTTTTCCCTCCATTCTGCATTCACGCCTTTAGTGAAATCAAAACTCATTGCACTGTTTCTTACTCTTGCTTATTCTTTCCCAGGACCTCAAGAGTGTAGAATTTGTTACTTTCCTTGATCTTACTAATAATAATAACTACTAGCAATTGCTATTGTGCCTTATCACATTGAAACTTCTCACAGCGCTTCACAGAGTTTTTCTATAAGGTGTAGTGATTGCGTGTTTATAGTTGAAAAATAAAGGCCTGAGGCACGTGGCATGTCCAACAAATAATTTTGTATTTGGAGGATTGTTGGTCAGGACATGGGAGAAACTCCCTTCTCTTTTTGAATAGTGCAATGGGATCTTTAATGTCCCCCTGTACAGGCAGATGGGACTTTGATTTAACATCTCACCCAAAATATGGCAACTCCACCACTGCAGTATTCCCCAGTAATGTAAACCTAAATAAACTATGAGCGCAAAGTCCTAACTTGGGGCTTGAACATTCATTCCAAAATCACAACCTCTGATTCAAGAGGTGAAAGTGCTTCAATTGACAAGAGTTTACATGATTTAAAGTCCAAACTTATGACCTTAGAAATCTCTTATTTCCCTGTTATATTAATAATAATCCTTGCATTTGATATAGCACTTTATCACGTCATTGAGATGTTTCAAAGCGCTTCACAGAATATACTGTAAAGTGAATTGAGTGTGTATTTTTTGGGCGAAATTCGGCAGCCAATTACACACGCCAGTGTCCCACAAACAGGCATGGATTGAGTGATCAAATTTTTTTTGGGAGGGATTATTATTCCCGGAAAGCAATCTACCAATTGACTAACAATAGGGTTCCTACTTCCTGCTAGCT